GGCAAACGATTTAGGTAAACTAGAAAAATAGTCAGAGTTGTGGCAACTGACATTTAATGTGGATAAGTGCAAGATAATGCATCTTGGACGTAAACACCCAAGGGCAGAGTACAGAATATTTGATGGAGTCCTAACCTCAACAATTGAGGAAAGGGATTTAGGTGTGATTATTTCTGATGACTTAAAGGTAGGCAGACAATGCAATAGAGCAGCAGGAAATGCTAGCAGAATGCTTGGTTGTATAGGGAGAGGTATTAGCAGTAGAAACAGGGAAGTGCTCATGCCATTGTACAGAACACCGGTGAGACCTTACGTGGAGTATTGCACACAGTACTGGAGACCGTATCTTCAGAAAGATATTGATACCTTAGAGAGAGTTCAGAGAAGGGCTACTAAACTGGTTCATGGATTGCGGGATAAAACTTACCAGGAATAGCTAAAGGATCTTAACATGTATAGAAACATTTAAATACATAAAGGGAATCAACACAGTAAAGGAGGACACTATATTTAAAAGAAGAAAAACTAGAGGACATAGTCTTAAATTAGAGGGACAAAGGTTTAAAAATAATATCAGGAAGTATTACTTTACTGAGAGGGTAGTGGATGCATGGAATAGCCTTCCAGCTGAAGTTGTAGAGGTTAACACAGTAAAGAAGTTTAAGCATGCGTGGGATAGGCATAAGGCTATCCTAACTATAAGATAAGACTAGGGACTAATGAAAGTATTTCGAAAATTGGGCAGACTAGATGGGCCGAATGGTTCTTATCTGCCGTCACATTCTATGTTTCTATGTTTCTGTTTCAGAAGAAATATTAATAGGAAATTTAACATTTTGATAGATTTTTATTTTTTTTACTGACAGATTCACTTTATTAATAAAATACTTTTACCAAGAGATTTATAAAGTCAGTTACCAAAGTGAGAATTGTCAGGGATTCAAAGTGAATTTCACATTTAGAACAAGATACCAAAAATTTTACCTTTAAATTCAAAATTAACTTTGAATTCATACAGTTCTCAGTTTAGTAAGTAACCCGTTAATCTTTTGTCCTTAGTGTGCACAAGGGATCAGTGTAAGGTTTTTTTTGTTGTTGCTTTTTTTGGTTTTATTAAAATCATACATTTTTATATATTTTTTTTTTATCTGCCCATCCTTTTTGTCCCACAGGATCCCTGTAAAAGGAATGCCATAGTAAAAAGTACATAATGTTCACTTACAACAGTATGAAGAGACTGATTATACACTCTAATAGCTTTTTATATATATTAAAAAAAAACAATAAATACATTTTTAAAAAAATGAAATAAATAAATAAAAATAATAAAAATAAATTTCAAAAAAATTATATACCGGTTTTAATTTCTTCTAACTGTATTTTAATATTAATATACATATATATTTAATTCAAAATACATTTAGAAGGACATTATGAATACATGTGTGTATTTATAACATCATTCTACACACAATAGATTAGTGTTCAAACTCAAAGAAATCGGTCTAGATGAAAATGCTTGTTCTTGGGTAGAACATTGACTTAAAAATAGAGTACAAAGAGTTGTCATTAATGGTACATTTTCAAGCTGGACAGAGGTGGCAAGTGGTGTCCCCCATGGTTCTGTTCTGTGACCCGCTTCTATTTAACATGTTTATAAATGATCTTGAAAAAAGCATTGAAAGTCATGTTTCAGTGTTTGCAGATGACACAAAACTTTGTAAAATAATACAATGTGAGCAAGATATTACTTTGCTGCAGAGGGATTTAGATAGACTGGAAGACTGGGCACTCAAATGGCAGATGAAATTTAATGTTGAAAAATGCAAAGTTATGCACTTCGGCGTAAAGAATGCACAAGCAGCGTATACCCTTAATGGAAGTGAATTAGGGATAACGACATACGAAAAGGACTTGGGAATTGTTATAGACAACAAACTATGCAACAATGTGCAATGTCAATCAGCAGTGGCTAAGGCCAGTAAGGTATTGTCATGCATGAAAAAGGGCATTCATTCTCGGGATGAGAATATCATTTTGCCTTTTATAAATCACTGATAAGACCCCATATTGAATATGCTTTGTAATTTTGGGCACCTGTTCTACAGAAGGATATTATGGACTAGAAAAATTGCAGATGCATGCTACAAAATTAATAAAAGGACTGGAGCATATCAACTATGAAGAACGGTTAACAAATTTAAACCTCTTTAGTATAGAAAAATGTCGCCTGAGAGGGGATATAATAACATTATACAAATATATTCGGGGCAATACAAACCATTGTGTGGAAATCTATTCACAAACCGGACTTTACATAGGACACAAGGTCATGGGTTTAGACTGGAAGAAAGAAGATTTTGTCTAAGGCAAAGGAACCTTTTTTTTTTACTGTAAGAACAATAAGGATGTGAAATTCTCTGCCTGAAAAAGTAGTTTTATCAGAGTCCATACAGATGTTCAAACAGCAACTAGATGTATACTTGCAAAAACAGAATATTTAAGGATATAATTTTTCAATTTAGGGTAATAGCTGCTTGATCCAAGGATAAATCTGACTGCCATTCTGGGGTCAAAAAGGAATCTTTTTTCCTAGTTTACTGCAAAATTGGAAGTGCTTCAAACTGGGTTATTTTTGCCTTCCTTTGGATCAACAGCAAAAAACAAATGTGAGGAAGGCTGAACTTGATAGATATAAGTCTCTTTTCAGCTATCTATCTATCTATCTATCTATCTATCTATCTATCTATCTATCTATCTATCTATCACTATATACTATATAAATACAAATAATTAAAAAATATATATATACATATATATATATACATAAATTTAAATTCTACAAATATATTTATATAATATTTTTTTATTTATTAATTTTTTATTAATTACAAACTGAGGGACCTGCCCGACAACCCAGGCAGAAAGTCCAGAGAATTTCGCAAGCCCTATATTTAATCAGGTAACTTTCCAGGACACTATAAAGCCTGTATATGGGGGTACTGTTTTACTCAGGAGACTTTGCTGAACACAAATATTAGTGTTTAAAAACAGTAAAACAAATAACGAAGATATCATCAGTAAAAATGCAGTTTTTTGCATTTTTCACATACAAACTATACTTTCACTGACGATATAATTGTTGTGATATGTTTTACTATTTTGAAACACTAATATTTGTATTTAATGAAGTCTCTCGAGTATAACAGTACCCCTCATGTACGGGTTTTATGGTGTTTTCAAAAGTTACAAAGTCAAAATAAGGCTTGGATTTCCTTTTTTTTCACAGTGAAATTTGCCAGATTGGTTATGTTCCCATGATGGCATACCATTTGCAAAAGTAGACAACCCAAGGTATTGCAAGTGGGGTATGTCCAGTCTTTTTTAGTAGCCACTTAGTCACAAACACTGGCGTTCAAATTAGTTTATTGCTTTTTTCACACACAAAAATATGAACCAGCAGTAATGGTAGAGCCAGTGTAACCACCATCACATGCTTTACAAATGCCAATGAAATGGGCATTTTATCATTTTTATTTTGTAAAAAATAAAATAAAAAAGTACATAAGTTCCTGTCTACATTATGTTGTTGGAAACATGTCTGAAAAAAGGTGCCATGCAAATACCATGCAATGTCCAGTAGGCACATAGTTTAATCCTGGATTAGGGGGATTTTACTTTGACCCACTTTGATCATATGAAAATCACTTAAAATCAGTTGATTTCATACATTATAATTGTAATTGCAAGCCTATAGGAGAAGTATGGGCTGAATATTCTAGGTTTAATCAGTATATTTTTGTCTACATTTTGAATAATCATACAATACCGGATAGAAGAAATATTTATATCTAGGATTCCTGTTAAACACAATTCAAGTCTGAAACAGAAAAAAAGCTATTGTTAGGTTTCATCGTGCTCTATCAACGCTTATATACCCAGGAGATAAGGGTGAGGCATTGCTGTTTTCTATCACTTTGACAATCAGACAAATATTGCTAATTAGCTTTCAAACATTACCACATTACATGTATCCCACATTTAAATTCCAGGAAATTGTGAATACAATATGACTCCAGACTGTGAGGCTTAACACACAAGGATGACAAAGATTCTTTAGAAAGGAGCAGAATAACAATGATTCTCTCAAGACTTCTGAAATGACATCAATATATTAGGCAATAATAGTATTAGCTTCTGGCAGAATTTTGGAGACCTTTGGAAATTGGTTTAATATTTATTTTTGGGAATCCATACATAATTGTCCATCATATTCGCAAGACGAGTCTCATCGAGATTTTAAGAAGAAATATCAAATTGTCTGAACTGTGTATCATTCACGACCGTGGGTGCATCATGTTTGTATACCGTGATAACATGTGATTGGGATATAGAGGCAGAAAATAATTTTCATTCCTCCTCCTCATATTACAAATATAATTTAATAGATTTATTGTTACAATATTCTTATCTATTTTTGATCAAATGTTTTTTCATGTTAAAGTTAGAGGGCACCAATGAAAAGTGCACATGACACCTTTGTAGTTTAATTATTATTTTTTCGGGATAAAATGCATTTAAGAAGTATTTTTAATAAGTGATTCTTCTTTATTCATAATTAAGGGGGCTTCTTCTTGGTCAGGAATGAAATTATTAGGGATGTGCATTGGAAAAATATTTGGTTCGGTTCGGCATTCAGAAATTCGGGACTTCGGGACTTCGGCACTTTGGTTCGGGTATGGGACTGTGGTACTTCGGTTCGGTACTTCGACATTTCGAACTTCTGCACTTTGGGTTGGGGTAGGGATAGAGGTAGGGTTAGGGGTAGGGTTAGGGTAGGGTTAAGGGTAGGGGTAGGGTTAGGCTAGGGGTAGGGTTAGGGTGGGGTTAGGGTTGGTTTAGGAGTAGGGTAAGGGGTAGAGTTAGGGTAGTGTTAGGGTAGGGGTAGGGTTAGAGGTAGGGTTAGGGTTAGGGGTAGGGTTATCGTAGGGTTAGGGGTAGGGTTGGGTTAGGAGCAGGGTTAGGGTTAGGAGTTGGGTTATGGTAGGGTTAGGGTAGGTTTAGGGTTATGGGGAGGGTAGGGTTAGGAGTATGGTTAGGGTTAGGGTAGGGTTAGGGATAGGGTTAGAAATAGGGTAAGGGTTGCCCAACCCCTACCCTAACTCTACTCCAACCACTAACCCTACCCCAACCCCAACCACTAACCCTACCCCGACCCTTAACCCTTAACCCTACCCCTAACCCTACCCCTAAACCTAACCCAGCTCCTAACCCAACCCTAAGTTAGGGCTAGGGGTAAGTTGAGGGTTAGGGAAGGGTTAGGGGTAGGGTAGCGCTAGGAGTACAGTTGGGGTTAGGGTAGGGTTAGTGGTAGGGTTAGAGGTAGATTAGGAATAGGGTTAGGGTTACCCTACCCCTACCCTAACCCTACTCCAACCACTAACCCTACTTCTACCCCAAATACTAACCCTACCCCAACCCCTAACCTCAACCCTCTCCAGTTTTGCCACTTTTCAGAAATTGGAAGCACTTCTGCACTTCCAAAATTCGGCACTTCGGCGATTCAGTTCGGCATTCGGAAATTCGGCACTTCGGCACTTCAGCACTTCGGACATTCATAAACATCTGAATGCCTGAATTACCGAAATTCATCTGAATTTACATTTGGAATGAAACAAATTGCACATGCCAAGAGATTATAGTTTTGTTTAATGTTTTGGGAGGGGTCTCTCCTTACCTTAGGCTCTTTCCCCTCTCGGGCAGGGCCTAATTGAGACGCTCAACTGCAGGAAGTAAGCCATTCCAAACATTACCTTTATAGTCATATTCACTTTGCTTGGGAGAATGCAATGGGTACTCCACTGCAAGACCAGGTTTAAGCTGCATCCTCTTTTGAACTGAAAGGTAGAACTAATCCTTCAGTGCTGCCACCCTAGCTGCTTTATTTTTCTACGTTGCTGCTGTTCATTTAGAATGTTTTTTTGTTGCCGTCATGCCTTGGTGTTGATAATCATGTTGTATCTTATTTGGTGTTACTGTGAATGGGGCAGTTGTTGTTCTGGGGTTGGTGGTTGATACTTATTAAGGGTTTTTGAATGCAGGGATTTAGGAGATTACTCCTCATGAGTTTCACCATAATTTGTCGTTGTCGCCTACCTTACCACTGAGGTTTTGACCATGTTGACTTTTTAGTGACTAATCAAATCCATCTTCATAAACACTCGCTTAGCTCTGGCACCCAGACTTTTCCAGAAAATGTTCCAAGCTCTACGGAGTCCTTATTTATCTACTCAAGATGATAGGTTGACTGCCCCACAAGGGTCATTACTCTTAATTGCCTTTCCTTAAATCAGATCAGAGGTCAAAAAGTTTAAAAGAAAACAAACATGAGATGAAAAAGAATGAGTCTGATGTCTTTTGCAAGAAGCTCATATCTCAAAACTATATCCTGGTTGCCTAATAGTCCATGACTGCCTATGACCTACAAAAATACTTGTCCCAACAGGCTGAAGTAAATAGCAAGAAATGATAGATGGTCTGCCAAATATATACTATACAAAATTACCCCTTAAGGATTGAGCCAACTGTACAAGTTGTGATCAAAACAAAACGTAAACAAAACCTTGAATTTGTGCTAAAAGTCTGTTCAGGTGTAATTTACATCTTTCATATTATGTGCACCCATACACTAATCATATATAATTTTGTTCAGCAGAAACAGGACTTTCATGTCACATCAAATATTTGTATATTAAACATAATTTAATATGAATAAAATATAAAATAAATTGAGAAATTAAGAATTTTGTTTTTTGTTTTGCATGACATTTTAACTGTGAATGTCACAATAAGGTTAGTTGTTACTGCAATAAAGTGCACATATTTGTATTCAGCGATGTCTCACATGTAAAATAGTACCCCCAATGTACAGGTGCTATGTTGTTTTGGAAAGTTACAGGGTCAGATATAGCACATTACATTTTTCTGTTTATACACATTAAAATTTGCCAGACTGGTTATGTTGCCTTAAGACCAAATGGTAGCCCAGGAATGAAAATTACCCCCATGATGGCATACTATTTGCAAAAGTAGACAACTCTAGGTATTACAAAAATGGGGTAAATCCAGTCTTTTTTGGTAGCCACTTAGTTACAAACACTGGCCAAATTTAGCGTTTTATATTTTTTATATAACCAACTGTACGCTTAGATACTGGCCTTCTGAGTTTTAAATCTATCAGTGGGGATTGTACCACTGCAAGCAATTTTACTTAGAGCTAGTTTAAACTCTACAAAATGTGAGAGCAATTCCAATCATTATTGTTGAGAGTTTTATCTTCCTGCTTAAACAGTCTGCACTATTATCTTTCAATTTGTATCTTTTTACATATGTTGTCAAGCTACCTTAATCAAGAACTGAGACCTATCAAGAATTTAAAAGCAACTGGGACTGTGAATATTGGACTTTATACGTTTATTATTTACTCCATATATACTTCTTTATTAATTTTATCTTTACATGCATCCATGGGCGCAATCTGTTTTTGTGTATCCTATACAGTGAGAGATATTTTATTAATATTATATATTTTATAGTTCTATGCATTGGCTATTTGACAGGCGCAATGTATACAATGCATGCATGACAGTGTCCATTAAACCTTTATGTTTTGAGCAATCTACTCAACTAGACTAGCCATCATCAGCATTTCTGCCCCTCTCCTGTAAATATGTGGCAACAAAAAAATATGTAGACAGCACCACATTGTCAATTTTATCCAGGGTGTCGACTTGACTTTGGCCCCTCCAGCCAACAATATATAGTACACTTGTGCATGGTGAAAAAAATTGGTTTGGCCATATTAATTCATACTAAGAAAAAAAAACTCAATGAAAAAAAAAACCCTACACCACAAAGTTAAATTAAAACTGAAATTGTTATAAATATCAATAAAAACAAAACAAAAAACAAACATTAAAGGACCACTCTAGGCACCCAGACCACTTCAGCTTAATGAAGTGGTCTGGGTGCCAGGTCCAGCTAGGGTTAACCCATTTTTTCATAAACATAGCAGTTTCAGAGAAACTGCTATATTTATGAATGGGTTAAGCCTTCCCCTATTTCCTCTAGCACTGTCTCATTGACAGCCACTAGAGGCGCTTGCGTGCTTCTCACTGTGATTTTCACAGTGAGAGCACGCCAGCGTCCATAGGAAAGCATTATGAATGCTTTCCTATGTGACCGGCTGAATGCGCGCGCAGCTCTTGCCGCACGTGCGCATTCAGCCGCATGGGAGGAGAAGAGGAGGATCGGAGGAGGAGAGCTCCCCGCCCAGCGCTGGAAAAAGGTAAGTTTTTATCCCTTTCCCCTTTCCAGAGCCGGGCGGGAGGGGGTCCCTGAGGGTGGGGGCACCCTCAGGGCACTATAGCGCCAGGAAAACGAGAATGTTTTTCTGGCACTATAGTGGTCCTTTAAAGGGACACTATAGTCACCTGAACAACTTTAGCTTAATGAAGCAGTTTTGGTGTATAGAACATGCCCCTGCAGCCTCACTGCTCAATCCTCTGCCATTTAGGAGTTAAATCATTTTGTTTATGAACCCTAGTCACACCTCCCTGCATGTGACTTGCACAGCCTTCCATAAACACTTCCTGTAAAGAGAGCCCTATTTAGGCTTCCTTTATTGCAAGTTCTGTTTAATTAAGATTTTCTTATCCCCTGCTATGTTAATAGCTTGCTAGACCCTGCAAGAGCCTCCTCTATGTGATTAAAGTTCAATTTAGAGATTGAGAGACAATTATTTAAGGTAAATTACATCTGTTTGAAAGTAAAACCAGTTTTTTTTCATGCAGGCTCTGTCAATCATAGCCAGGGGAGGTGGGGCTAGGGCTGCATTAACAGAAACAAGGTGATTTAACTCCTAAATGACAGTGAATTAAGCAGTGAAATTGCAGGGGAATGGTCTATACACTAAAACTGCTTTATTTAGCTAAGGTAATTTAGGTGACTATAGTGTTCCTTTAAGTGAGGTTAAATAAAAAATCATTTTGGAATAACAATTATAACAATCGGTCGAATCCATCAGATTCTTGGTTAGAAACAAAAAAGATGTTGTTCATTAAAAGATCTAAGGAGAGTTCTATCACTGAATATAATATTCGATCAGTCATTAATAAATGTGAAGTTGTTTTTGGTGTGTCCTCCTCCTCATTAGCATCTTTTTTTTCCCATTGTTAAATGGATTGAAATTATTTATTTTTGGATTCTACTGCTTCATTCGAATTCTGCTTCATTTCCTGTTTGGGAACTGGTGATTCCACAGTTAAATGTATAAGCTTTGGAACATTAAAGCAGACATGGTAATGTGTACTGATTTGGTTTTTAACTCCTTAAGGACGGTGGGCGTTCTATGCTGTCCTTTTTTCGGCCGTCCTACACGCGGGCGAGCGGCATATAACGTCCCCACCATCCTTTGTACTTAACGGGTGCCCACCATTCCCCCGATGGTGGTCGCGATCCTGGGGTCTGCCTGGGATCCTGGGTCTATGTCTTTTTAACTCCTTCACAGCACTTGGTTTGCCAGGACTCTCGTGCCATTCCAGTAAAAGGGTTAAGCACCAGTTCAATAATAAATGCTTCAAATGAACCAGATTAAAATCAGTTTAGTATTGCAAAGTGTGCTGGACAACAAGGGGTTAAATATAATTTAAAGGCTTCCGTTTCAAACACCTTCGAGTCATTTTTATTTTTGCTTTTATTAAACAGGAATAGCTAAGGTATTATTACAGCACTGAGATTATATATATATATAAAAATAATAATAAAGAGGCAGGTCTTGGCACATTAAAATAAAAATAATTAAAATAATAATCAATGTTAAAAGCTCAATATCAACATTGATTCAAATTTCTGGTTTTATAAGAAATCCTAAATTATGGTGCCAACATATGCCGCCCTCTGTCATGTCAGCTAATTGGTAGGTGAGATGTTAATTTGTGGACTGGTGTTCAGCTAATGCTGTAATGCAAAGATTACAACCACCTAATGGATCTGAAATTGCTATGCCCTTTATTGCAACATACAATGTTTTAGTGCAGGTAATTTTTCTGTGATGTAGTTATCAGTTACTGAACAATGGTAAAACCGCTATGTGGGTTACTGGAGAAACCTGTGTCACTTTTATTTACCTAATATCTACATACCTGCAGGTGTTATAATGTAGGGAGCTATTTTATTCTTTAAGGTGTTA